TACGTTCCCTCCCCTCCCACCCCCCCTCCAAATTACATTTTATCAGAATTTGTGATCACATTGTGCATTTTACTGTTGGAGTAGTCACTAAAGCAGTGGATGTCACTGTGTTACTGATTACTCTGGCTGTACATATGTGGTTACATTACATATTTCCCATAGCACAGCTGTAAACACAATACAGAATATGAAATATACAATATATAATTTTTTAAAGTCTGGGGCACCCATGGTGTGAAATAGGCCTCTTACATTTGTATTATTTTTTTTTGTGATTGGGCAACTACATACTTATTGACTTTTACGCAAAATTCCATTCCGGATTATAAAATAGGAGAGCCTATTCCTTGCTATACTTGCACCTTTTAATTCCTCTTAGAGCACTATCTATCAGTAGAAAAAATTGTTGTGTTGGGGTGGGAAACAGATTTGGCATTATATCTCTGTAAAACACACCTGCAATCAGCTAACTTTATTGGTCAGTTAAATTATTTTGAAGCTTACCTACTTTCTGTCCTGGAGAAGTATTTTGGCACCTGTGCTAAACATCCCTCCAACACTGGAAGCATTGTAAGCTAAAACGATTCTTCACATTCTTTTCATTTAATGTCCCTTGAGCACTGTAATGTCAAAATGTTAATGTAACAATTACTTCTGCTCTGTGCTGGAAATTGCATAATGGGCTGGGAGATAATGTTTGGAATTTGAACCTGAATTATACACTGTGCCTGTGTTTTATGGGATGATATGTGGTTATGCCTGTTTGGTCCCTATGTTGTGGTCGTCTAAGTTAGGGTTACTTTCTAACCATTTTTTTATTTGCTGTGGGGGTAAGAAGCCATTTTGTAGCTAGACTTAACCTTTTATACATCTTTTTTTGTAGAAAGGGTTTAGCGGAAAAGGCAAAAAAAAACGTAGAAATTGAGATTTATCCAAAGTAAAAGGTAATTTTAATTTAGATTTCCTCTTCTACTCTGTCCCTATTTCCTTGCTATATTTTTTGTAATTTTTTTTTAAAAGTAGTTTTTAATTTTGAATGCAGTAGCAGTAAAGTCAGTGGTACACATTAAAGACCTGACATTCTCTAGGCACTGGTGGTTCTAATGCATCCCTTGGATTGGATTGGGTGTGGTATCCAGACCACGGTGCCTGGGGTTGTAAATCTTTTTGTTGTTTGTTGTGATTGATGCTGACTTCCATTTAAACTTGTTTCTTTTCTTTCCCCCCTGCATTGCCCGTGTAGTTGAGAAAATCGAAAAGATTATCAGACTCTTCAGACATGGCAGGACAGATGAATGAAACTGTAGATGTCCAGGATGTTATTGCAATTTGTTGTCCAAAATACAAGGATCGGCCTCAGATTGCAAAAGTAGTTCAGAAAACCAGCCACGGCTTCAGTGTTCAATGGATGGCTGGCTCCTACAGGGGCCCTTGGGCCGAGGCAAAACGCCGTGATGGCAGAAAACTGGTGCCTTGGGTTGACACTATAAAAGAGTCAGACATTATTTACAAAAAAATCGCTCTAACGAGCGCCAATAAGCTGACTAATAAAGTTGCTCAGACTTTACGATCGCTGTATGCAGCCAAGGACGGGACTTCCAGCTAATAAATTTGTATATTTGCAGCCAAATTTACAGGAAAACAAGAACAGATACAAACTTGAAATCTCAGCATTCTGGCAAAAAAATTAAACCTAACAAACAAGATAAAAAGATCAGTTTTATGAAGAGTAAGAACGGAACTTGGCCGTGTGAAGGAAATGTTTGGTAAACATTTTGTGGGAGCTTCCTTCGCTGTTGTACAGCAGAAACTTCTCAGTTCATTTTTACTCCCACTGTATTATAGTTTAACAAAAAATTGTTTATATCTTGAAGAATACTTTCTGTTTAAAAAAACAACAAAAAAATTTTACAAAAAATAAACAAGTGAATGTTGAAAATTAGTCTGTTAATGTTCTTAATAAAGTGTTCTTGGAGTTTAACCTAGCAGCGGATGGCTTTCTTTAGCTTAGCCCGGTTTCCAGGGAAGCATTGATTTTATTTTTGTTTATTTTTTTTTATTTTATTTTTTCTTTCTCCAGGCTGTAAAGTGGCGAATGCTCTGGATATATATAATTTATTCTGTTGAAAACAAAAAAGCATGCAGTATCTATGACCTATCTGCAGGAGGAGGTTTTTTTTTTGTAAATGTAGATTTTGATGTATTAGGTCACCCTGAAATTATACACGAAAAGGGATCCCCAGAATACCTGCTGGAGATAATACTGCAATAAATTTTTTTACTTCTTTGTTACCTGTCTGTTTCCATTTGAATTTCTTAATGTAAAGCTGTTTAAATCCAATTATATTATTTTGCAGTCTTTTATGTAAAATTTACTATCAGTCGTTTTCAACTCAAGGCATAAAATATTGTTTATACAGTTTGTATAGTGACTTCGAAATAACTGGTATCTTTATTTTCATTCCTATAAAAGGGTATAGACACGATTTAACTCCCGATTTTATTGTATTCTGAAATATCTAGTGTTAACTATATATGATTTAGCACTGTGCCAAACTCCTTTTCAAGAATGTTTGATATAAAAAGAAACTATAGTTTATTCTTTGTATGTTTCAATTTCTTTCCTGACACAGAATGGGCTTGGTCTCTTACATTTCTCAGGGCAATTAATTGGTGCATTCCTACCTCTCCCCCTCAACTAAAAGCGATTGCTTGCTAATGTCAAGCTCAGAATTTACATGTTTATTCAGCCACTCCTAATACACACACACATCACATAGAATATGCATGGAGCATCAACCTTATGCTGGCTAGTTTTCTGTGGAAATGAAAAGGCATAAAAAAGGTCGGTCTCTACTGATTAAATCTTTATTTTTAAAACTTCCCTGTGTGATTTGTTTTGACAAAACCTTATTAAAGGTAAAATTCCATAATCTATATTTTCAGAACACCTTTGAAGTTTGTTTTTGTTTTGTTTTTTTCCTTCCTTCCTTCCTCATGGTACTCTCAATATTTATTAATTGCTAAGTGTAGTGGATATCATTGCCTGTTTGTATCATTAAAGGGGACACGAAACACCACATCATGTTGTGCCAGTTATGGTGCAAATAGTCTTTGGAGTCATTTCTGTTTTTTGTTTGTTTCAGATTTCAATATTTTTAACAAAATCAGGGTTTTCAAACTCATCCCCTCAGCCTTCAATGATGATGTAGATGTTTTATTTGCATATTAACAAATGTGTTGAATCTTAAATGCCAGTAATAGACTATGACAACTGATAGCAGCCTAGCTCAGTGCTCACAGCATATATTTAATATCAAAGGTTGGACAGGTAAGCAGAATTTGAAACTTCCATATTTCCACGGCGAGGTTAAGGTGTCTGGAGACCAGAATTCATTATTGTGTCTACATTTTAGAGAGCGTCTTAAAAGGAATTTGAACCCTCTAGCAATGTATATATTTGTATATATTTTTATTCAAATTGTATTCATGGGAATTATCATTTTCTGACTAGTTACAAAAGGTTTGTGTCTAATGCTTTATCCAAAATATTTCAGAAGTGATGTGTGCAAAACAATCCATTTTGGAGATCATGATCTTTGGTATAAGGTATAACTATCATTTCCACTAGGTTTAAGTTTTGAGAGATTTTAGTTGATTTTGGTTGCTCATAATTAGTTTATATAAAATCAGAGAGAATACATTGCGTTTGCTCCTAAAATGACATAAATTCGAGCTGCTAATACATTTTTACACCTGGCAACAAACGGTGAATACTAGTAATAGATTATTTATGCTGTGTATAAATCCTAACAACTGTCGTACAGAACTCTACTTCCAGTTTGCTGTATTGTTAATCTTGATAATGATGTAATTTACAGGTTTAGCACAAACCAAGCATCATGCAAAGACCAGCCAGCTAAGTGTTCAGAGTTCAGTGATTTCCCTGAACATCTGCTGTGCATATTCTTGACCTTTTCTGATGTTCAGTCTGCCATCTTGTGTGATTCTTTGGCCTCATTTATATGTACCAAGGCAACATAGCATAAAGCTTATTGATTACAGCTGGCTGTAGTGGTTCTGGTGCTTAGTGAGCCTTTAATACAAATTTAAAAGAAAACTGAGCATCTCATAAAAAAAAGCTTAAACTAACTTTCTGGTAATTTTCAATGATTTCTTCAGCTGTGTCAATAACAGATGTGACCATTTAAAAGTCAATTTAAAGCTTCATTTTAAAATATCCCATAATTTGTGTTAAAGGGACTCTCCAGTTCCAGGAAAACAGCCTGTTTTCCTGGCACTGCAGGTCCCCTCTCCCTCCCACCACCCATCCCCTGGTAGCTGAAGGGGTGAAAAACCCCTTCAGGTCACTTACCTGAGACCCCGCTGATGTCCCTCGGCGGTGGTTTCTGCTCGCCGCCGCTCCTCCCATTGATTACGTCAGCCGTTGGGCGAGACTGATCCCGCCCACCGGCTGAGGAAACTTAATGTGCATGCGTGGCATTGCCATGCACGCGCATTAGAGCTCTCAATAGGAAAGCATTGAAAAAGCTTTTCAATGCTTTCCTATGGGGAATTGAGCGATGCTGGAGGTCCTCACACAGCGTGAGGACGTCCAGCGACGCTCTAGCACAGGTTTCCCTTTAACCTATTGATGCTCCATTTTCTGTTCTAAATCAACGTTTCAACCCTACAGGGTCATTATCAAGACCTTAATGATGACCCTATAGGGTAGAATAGTTTTAATATGTTTGACATGTATTAGTAAAGATATATATATATATATATCCTCAGTGCTACCAATTAACATATATATATATATATATATCCTCACACTCTCACTCTAAAATGTTAGCAGTTGACATCACAATCCAGTTCAGTCTTGGCCCAGACAGATTTTACAGTGTCTGGAGCTGAGAAAACAAAAAATGGGGTAGATTTATCAAAGTGATACCGACACGTTTGTCAGATTTTTGGTGCAACTTAGTAAATCTTTTGAAGTTTGTTCATCAGTTGGTTCCTATACACCCTAACTATCATCTTTAATGCATTTAGCAGTTTTTCCACAGAAAAGTGTTCTGCTCATTTTTTATATTTTGTCCACTCTAAACTGGGTCATCTTTTGAAACTGTCACTTTTAGAAATAATTAATACAATCTTAATAATTACACAATTTGACCATCACTTTGATAAAACTCACGCTATTGTTTTTTCCCTATGATGCCAGGAGCAACATTTATACCAATGATTGTATCTGTTCGTTTGGTTTCAGCGCAGGTGAACTCTCTAAACTCTGAATTGTGGCATAACTAATGATGGCCAATTTAGAAAAAAAAATCTCATATTAGCCCATTTTTGTGCTGTTTGGATGTAAGTTTGCTACAATTCAGGGCTGTTTTTTTGTTTGTTTTTTTTTAAAAACCCCCACCTGTGTGTATTTTGCACATTTAAATATATATATTTTTTTCTATACATTTGGCACCTTTAATAAATATAGAGGGTAAGTAAACATTAAAATTCCTGGAAAATGAAGTTTCCCTTTAATATTATCACCATTTACATAGCACCAACAGATTCCGTAGCTCTAGATAATACTTTAGCTGTAGTTTATTACCATGAAAACTGTTTGCCAATACTTTTCAGTTGGTTAACTAGTTTGGTTTAAGATAATTATATCATTAGGGAGAATATAAAAAGCACTACACATGACTGAGCTTGCTGCAGTGACTGTGTATTCCAAAAACTATCTTGTCATAAGTTTTCTTCACAGCATTGTGTGCTACCTTTTTCATCCGTTTTGTTTTTTTGTTTTATTTTTTATATATTTTTGTGTTATCCAATAAAAAAATGAACCTTAACTTGGCCTCCTGTCTTTGTTTTAACACTGCTATTCTAGTCTGTTGTTGCTACCCAGCACTTCTGTACATCATGAAATTTTGACCTACAGGTAAGTTATAGAAGTTGCTTAAAATCACCTTAGAAAATCTGGACTAGTAGGCTTACCTCAAATCAAATCCATCTTCAATGTGGCAATAAAGCTGGGTAGTTTAGAGACACTGCCACCCTTGTAACTTCAGCTTAATGAAGTTATGGGGGCAGGAGGTATTTTTTTGTTGTTTTTTTTTCAGTTTAGTCCTGATGTAGGTAATCCAGCAACCAAGCTTACCAGCATCTTTCCTTTCTGTCTCTGCAGAATGTGAAGGTTTAGCCACAGGTGATACATCACTGGTCACTCATTGAGAGAGAGAGAGAGAGAGAACGTGGAATGAACTACATTACATTCTGGTATTTGCAACCAATAACATTTTCAGGCTTGTGAGCATCATGCAACAGTTAGCAAAAACATGTTTGTTTTTTTACTGCCCGTACCACTGCTAATGTCAGAAAACATAATTGTCTGAAAACTAGGTAGATTTCATTATTATTGTGTTGTTTTACCTAATATGCCAATATTGTGAGGGTAATAAGGGGGAAAACATTTGCTTCTTAAAGGTTTGTTTACACAAGTGCTCAAAATTTCTGCTCTCCACTAACCATTGCCATGTGAAAATTTACCCCTTGCAAGTATGGCTTGCAGTGGCAAGTGATTTGCAAGGCATGGCTAGTAGTTTAGAACTTAGAACTTTAATCACTGGTTTACATCATAAGCTGAAATTTACAGATGACTAAATGCATTGGTGATGCCAATAGGTGACATCTTAATATGGATGTTGCAGTGTTTCTTTAAGGTACTTTTAAACTGGCATGTCAGATGTAATGCAATGTGCTAATTGTAATCAATAATGCTATGTTATAGTTACATTGCCTCTAAATAAATTGCACCTATTAAGTGACAACTTTAGTTGACGTTGCTTGTAGACATCAAGTTAACATTTTGGAGTATTGGTTATTTGGTAAAGTATTTTAGGTGGTGACCATTTTTGATGGTCTTGTTAAAGTGTCATTAACTCCTTTTGAAAGGATTGTGATTGCCAAAACTTGAGTTTATAAAGCTATATGGTCAATTTTCATCTATTGAATACTGGTAAAAATTGTGTTGGAAAGTATTGGAACAGTGAGATTGTGGTCACACTAGCAACTGGTTTGGTCTATAAATATCTTTATAGTGATCGTCATTTCCCTAAATGTTAGATAATGCTGAATTTAATGTTCAGGGAACCTGTTTTTTTTCTGGGGGGGGAATCAACTTTGGCTTTTAAAAGAGCTTAACCCCTTAAGGACACAGCTTCAGAAGCTTGACTTACGCTTAATGACACAAGCAATTTTTGCATTTTCTTGCTGTTTGCGTTCAACTGCAATTTGCATCTCTCTCATTTATTGCACCGACACATATTATATACTGTTTTTTAAAGGACAGAAAGGGCTTTAATTTGATATAACATATATATATATATAAATGCTTACTTATTATAAAAAAAATACAGAAAAATGCAAAAAAAATGAAAAATATTGTTTTTTTTTACAGTTTTTGCAATAGTAATGTGTGCATAATTAGTGCAGGTTAAGGAAAGTAATTAAAAATAAATTTATTTATTTGTTCTGATTTACAGAATATATAATGTGTCTGGGATTTTAAGTTTTTTTTGGTAGTTACAGGTCACAAAGCACAAGGAGTAAAATAAAATTTTAATGTGGAGCGATTTTAGAATTTGGTATGTTTGTCTTGTAAGCTTAATAGCCATAAAAGAAAACAAAATTGCCACACAAAAGTATATATTTATATAAAGTAGACATCACGGGCTATTTACCTAAGGTTGTTTTGACACTTTCTACGTAGCCATATTACCGCCAACCTCTGCTAAATATTGGAGTAAAATTGTGTTCTTTTTGGTTTTTGGCACACAAACTTATAACAAAGAAATTCTCGTGTATATTTTGTAAAGTTGGTGTGTGCTATTCCTGTACAAAGTTTTATTTTGTGTTCAGTTACATCTGCTGAGTAAAATGACACCCCCATTGTATGTCTTTTGCACTATTTCGTGAAGTTACAGTCCCATACAGGATACCTGTCCTTTTCAGTATTCACAGTAGAATGTTGAGAGATGAATTTAATGAGCCTTAGCTTCCATTTGGGGTATTATAACAGTTTGACTGTTCAAAAAAACCCCACAAAGGCCTACCATTTGTAAAAGTAGACACTCCAGGGCATCTTATAAGGTGCATATTGTGCCTTAACATGCCCCCATTTTTTCACCAATATATGCCAAAGTATGTGGTAAAAAACAATTTTGTGCATTTTTTACATACGGATTGCATTTTTGCTGGGCGTTTTGTATATTTCATATGTGCCACTAAGTTCAAACCTCCCAAATTATGCTCAGCTAAGTCTTTGGAGTAAAAATACACCCCCAATGAATGTCTTTGTCACTATTTTGTGAAGCTACAGTGCCATATAGGAGACCAAGCCATATCCGTTTTTACCAAACTTTGAATTTTGACGCTGGGCCTATATGCAATTTCCAAGCATCTTCGCAGGTTTTAAATTCAATCTACCCCACAAAGGCCTACCATTTCTTAAAGTAGACACCCAGGGTGTTTCAAAAGGTATAGTTTGAACCTTAGCGTGGGATCATTTTTCCGCTAGCTTGTACCAGATGTAGTGGTAATAAGCATTTTTTCTGCCTTTTTGACATACAAAGTGAGTTTGCGCAGCATATTTTGCAAACCTTATGTGTGCTATGACTGTATAATACTTCATGTTGCTCAGCTATGTCGGCTGAGTACAGCAATACCCCCGTATGTACCTTTGCCAGGTATGTGTGGACATGGGAGGGGCACATTTGGGACACAGCCATTCCATTTTTTTTCAAACTTTGAATTTTTATGCTGTGCCTATGTCCCATTTTAGAGTATTTTACCAGGCTATATAATCCAAATTCCCCATAAAGCCATACCTTTTCTTAAAGAAGACATCCCAGGGTATTTCAAAAGGCATATTTTGAACCTTAGTGTGGGATCATTTTTCCGCTAGCTTGTACCAAGTGTAGTGGTAATAAGCATTTTTTCTGCCTTTTTGACATACAAAGTGAGTTTGCGCAGCATATTTTACAAACCTTATGTGTACTATGACTGTATAATACTTCATATGTTGCTCAGCTATGTCGGCTGAGTACAGCAATACCCCCGTATGTACCTTTGCCAGGTATATGTGGATGTTGAAGGGGCGCATTTGAGGCGCAGCCATTCAGTTTTTTTCTAACTTTGAAGTTTTATGCTGTGTCCATGTTCCAATTTGGAGTAGTTTAGACGGTTGGTTATTGAAACTTCCCCACAAACACATACTATTTATTAAAGAATACACCCTGGGGTAATTCAAAAGGCATATTTTGAACCTTGGCGTGGGATACTTTTTTCTCTAGTTTGTTCCAGGTGTAGTGGTAATGAGCGTTTTTAAAATGTATTTTTTTACTTTTTATAACTTTTTACTTTTAAAAACTAGTTTTTAAACTTTTGTTTTGCTTATAAATTTTTTTTAAACTTTCCTAAACTTTCTTAAAACTTTTTTACAGATTTAACATTTTTCTAAGCTATTTTTTTTTACTGTTAACCCCTAACTAGCAGTACGCAGCACTAACAGTAAATTCCCCATTTTCCCATAACTCCCACCCACCCCAGCTAGCAAAATATATAGTTATAAAATATTTAAATTAATTAATTAAATAAATTGAACCCCTGAGGGTTAAAAAATAAAAATAAAAGTTAATCCTCAGGGGTTAAAAAAAATTAGATCACAGTATAATACTGTGATCTCTATTTGATCGCTGTAGGCAGTGATCGACTGGCAGGGAAGGGGTTAATTTTTATTTGGACTAGGTAAAGTGTGTTTTTTTGTTTTTATTACTTAAATGTTATTAAAACATTTTTAAGCTTAATTTTTAACTTTTTAAAGTTTCTTTTAAAACTTTTTTTTAACGTTAACCCCTAGTTAGCCTAACGTCAAATCCCCCAATTCCCCACTAACTTCCACCTACCCCAGCTATCTAAATATATAATTTAAAAATAATTTAATTAATTAATTAAATTAATTTAACCCCTGAGGGTTAAAAAAAAAAGAATTAACCCTCAGGGGTTAAAAAAAAAAATCAGATCATAGTAAAATGTAATCCCTGCCAATTGATCACTGTAGTCAGTGATCAATTGGCAGGGAAGGGGTTAATTTTTTATTAAAATGGGTAAGGGGGGGGACACTTTAAATAAACTTTATTTTTTTTTAACAGCAGGGGGCAGGATCAGCACTGATCCGGCTCCCTGCACTTCACACAGAACCCGGAAGTGCAGGGAGCCGGTAGGTGAGTATACTGAGCACATGTGCTCGCTCCGACTTGTGGTCAGAGCGAGCACATGTGCTGGGCAGCTTGACCGGGTGCTCCCGGTATGCCTCCAATGCAGAGGCATACCGGGAGCACCATTAACCCCGCGATCGCGGCGATCCGGGGTTAATTTTACCGCGTGACGGACGAGGTCCGTCACCCGTCGTTAAGGGTCTCCCCTGCGTGACGGACCTCGTCCGTCACCCGTCCTGAAGGGGTTAAAATTCCACCTTTACATTGTGCTAGTAGTTTTGCTAGCAAACATGCAGATGTGGAGAAAAACCTATTTAAGAATGGGTTTCTCGCCTATCTCTCAATTCCTCGTCAGACACTGAATGCAGATAAATTGAGATACAGGAGAGCAGAAGAGACCTCATACAAGAGGTCCCTTTGCTTTCCACTCATTGCAACCACAGTGCGGTGGTTGCGAAGGTAATTTTTTAGCCAGTGCTACTAACTCCTAAATAACAGAATTGATCAGTGA